AACAATATTTTCTTTAATACAGATAAACGAGTTTGTGAAACGGGCAAGAGCTGCAAAGATTCATGCGTACATCATCAGCCATTTGAAGAAGGAGATGCCAGCCATAATGGGAAAAGCTAAAGCTCAGCAGAAACTGATAGATAACTTGGAAGACGTCTTTGCAAAGGTTGATTTGATCCCGAGGATCTTTAGAAAATGCGATTTTCTGGTTCTGAGAATCTTTTTGACCAATGTGTTTTCGACTTTGTGTATGACATGAAAACAGGTACAAAGAGAGCATCACTTACCAAAAGGAGATTTCCCAAACGTGGAGCACTTCAGGGAGGTGCTAAGCGGTTACAACATCGACAAGTTTGAGAAGCTAAAGCCGAAAATGTTGCAGACTGTGGACGATATGTTGGGGTATGATATTCCAGAGCTCTTGAAAACTTTCGGAAACCCTTATGGTTGATTCTTTGATCCTTTCGTTAGGTGTGTTGTTATTGTTATAATCCTAAGTATACATTCACCTTTGGCCTAAAACTGAGCATAAATGCACATTTGTATTCTTAAAAGACTTGTAGACAAATAAAGATACATAAAAAAAGGAGTGCTGACTTGATAGTTGGCTTATTATATATCACACAATAAAAGTATTGACTGTCAATATCAAAGTCTAACATGATAACTTTTCGATTATACATCTGTTTGAAATTTTAAGAATCAAATAATTTTTTTGTTTGTTTGGTTTGGTTTCTGAAGCACACTGTCATAGACTATTTCCAATTTCTTCTAAGAAAAATATAGCACAGTTCGGAAGTAGTGGTGACAGAGGACAAAAAATTACTATGAAAGGAAAGGAATGTAGTACTTGAGTATATGAATCATCATGATGTAGGATCCAGATTGGTTTAAAATGAACAAGGAATCATTTTACTGCACTAATTAAAGCTAGACCGGAATCATGGTTCTATTAATTCCCAGAATCCCAAAAATTAAAAAATACAGAGGCTTCACAGAGTTGGAAGAAAGATGCCATAAATCCATGTTATATTGAAATCATCATCGCCTTCCCCTACAATGTTCCAGTTGATCTGGCAAGTTTGTCCTGGCTTCACTAACAAATAGAATTAAAGGTGAGAGAAGACGATAGTTGCTGGCCAACAAGAATTTTAGGCAGCATTTGCTTCCTTTATCGATGCTGGCTTATCAATTCCCGGCTCTGAAGGCTGTTCCTTATGTCTATCATCTAAACCATTTACCCCTTCGCCTTTCTGTGAATCTCCCGGGGGGACATTCTGTAAAGACTCTTGGACATTTGGTGTTTCCTTCTCACTCTGAGAATGATAGCTGGATGGCACCAAAGGAGGCTGAGACGCTTTTTTCTCTGTCTGGTAAGCTGAATTCTCTTGTGGCACAGATGGTTTGGCAGTAATCTTTCGGTCTTGATCTGATATAACTGCGGCTGGAGAATCTGTTGGGTGGTTCTGACAAGTTTCCAAAGCGAATTTCTTCTTACCATCCTTGCTCAATTCTTGACCATTCTCTGATGTTGTTTTATCATTCAGACAGTGAGAGTCTGAATGAGATGTAGACTCTGATGGATTTACATCTTCAATTGCTTTTACAGTCTCAGAATGTGACACTGCCAACTGAGAGTTAATATCAGAAGTAACAGTCAATGCATGGACTTGAGTGGTAAGGTCGGTATTCAATATAGAATGGTCAGCAGTCCCAGAGGCGACCGAGCTGCTGTCTCCATTTTCGGCAACTGCTAGGGCTTGTGCTGCAAGACTAGCAGTCATAGCGTTTGAGGTTCCATTCACGGGAACCTGGTTACCAGCAGGCAATGGATAAGTGCTGCTCATAGTGCCAACTGGTGTTAAAGGTTTTGATGCGAGGCCATTGTTTATCACTGCACTTGTACTTGCAATTGCTATAGGATTTGGAGTGACGGTAAGTGATACCAGTGCTGTTGAATTGGTACCACAGATTAAACTTTCCCTAAAGCCTTGTCGTCCAGTGTTAGTAGTCTTTGCTGCGCTTGCAGTTGTATTTGCAGTCACATTAGCAGTCTCAAAATGAGATGTTCTTGCTGCTCCAGAAACAAAGGCAGGAAAATTTTGTACTCCGGGACCCGTACTTACTATTGGTTTCTGTTGATTAACCTTCATATCCATCGATCCAACCTTCTTCGATATCGATGATTGAACCCCGGCTGTACTAGAAGGCCTTTTTGCAGCAGTCGTACTTATGGTAGGACCATATTTAGGAGGAAATGGCTTCCCATTGAATGCTTGCACACATCTTGAGCAATGCCATTCGGATGTTGGAACCCCTTTCATATTGTTTCCTTGCAGACATTTCAAGTGGTATGCTTTTTCACAGGCATCACAAATCAGTAGAGTCTCCACTTCATTGATGGTAACTTCACACATCTGGCATGCTATTGCTCTGCTCATATAATCTCTTGAAGGTGGATTCCACAAAGCATACTGTTTAACCAGTGGTTGCAGAACTTTGTGGATTATCTTAGCGATTACACTATGGTTGTTCCCAAACGAAGAAGTGTGACCATAATGCATTCCCTGCATCGGCTGATTTGTGCTCGGGAATGTACCATGCGGATTTTGAGACATGAATGGCCTAAAGCTTGTATCTGCTGCCCTGACCGAACTTTGAACAGGCACCTTCTTATCTGGTGCAGTACTGAATGATATGGTGGATTGAGGTTGGGCAGACCAGGATGCAGCATAATAATTTGCAGAAGAGGTTGCTGGAACACAGAATAAAGTAACATATGAAACAAACTCGACATAAACGGTAAGAAACTATTAAATCAGTAGAAAAAATAACATAAATTCAGCAAGGAAACTTCTACGCAAGGAAACTACTGTGTTCACAAAAAGTAGTATTTGCTTTCTGAGCATGGAGCAATAATCACAGCTACAGGCCTAAATTAGCATCTGGATTTGGCTTTTATAATCATCTCGAGCAAGTCTATGACTACAACTCTTGTCGAATAAAGCCATAGCAAACCAACCAGAATACACTAACCACAACAAAAAACGTGCTATTTTCCAAATCAAAGGCAAACAATATCTAATCAACGCAAACTGCATCTACGAAAAACAAAAGGGGGGAATATAAAGAGTTAAGATAGGAGGACTTACCAGTCCCCTGAGAAACACCGTTAACCATCATCACCTGAGGTGGTCTCTCCATTCTGAAATGGCTTCCACTTGAATTAACTTCACCACTAGGCCACTGATGTGCCACATGAACATTCTTTGCTGCAGAAAATAAAAATGTGAAGAAACTATCACTATGCTTGAGGATAAAGGTTGATGGTTTGTTGAAATGCAGAGACAGTATGTGTAGTAGCCGTACCAAAACCAGGAGATGCATATCCAGTGGAAACAACTGTAGGTGTAAGATACTTTTTTGCTTCTTCTTCCATCTGAACAAAAGTTAAATTGAAATTGAAAAAACATATAACGAAGGCCACACAGAAAACTGCAACTCTCAAAAACAACATTCCAATTTGAAGGGAGCAATTTCAAAGACAAAGACATTACCTTTCTTTTCCCAAGAGATAGTTTCTCGGAGATGGTAAGCTTAGGAGCTCGGAAACCTAATCTCTGGTCTTTAGCCTTATCATTCAAACCCAGATCTTCAATCACAGCTCTAACATCATCCTTACCGATGATATCCATAGGGGTAAACTCTTCACACATGGCAGCTAACATCGACCTAGCCTCCACCATAAGCTCTAATTCCAACTCCGTCGGGGTTTTACCTCCTCGAATCCTCCCTAACGCCGACAAAACCAGCACAATCTCCGCCACTCTGTTAATCTCGTCGCAAAAACGTTGCTTTTTCGCCAGTGGAGCCACCGTTTCTCCTCCGTCTCCGTTCTCTTCGTCGACCATCAAAGTCGCTGCGACAGATTCAAGATTCATCGGAACGTTAAAGGCCGCCGCATCCATGGAAAAAAAAAACCT